CACAGACCATTTAGAATACATAGCGGAAAAAAGAGCCTTGAGAGTTAGCAAGGCTGATACTATTTTTGGTTAACAACAACATGGAATGCCAGATAGCCATCATACATTGATGCAGTTATATTGTACATACAGTACAATGCAGTTTTAGAACTGCATTGACTAATGACAGAAATTCCGATCCCAATTGTGGTAGCAAGTTGAGAATTACCCGTATACTTAACTGTTTAACATTGCGACTTCATGTAACAAATGTTGTCTCTTTCTAATACCGTATTTGCCGGCGTATAAGATGACTTTTTTGCCCCGAAAAACATGCCTCCAAGTGGGGGGGTCGTCTTATACGCCGGTATATCCACTGCCGGCTTTCGGAGGCTTGTTGGACGCAGCGAAGGCGCCTCTGGCTTCCCGGATCCCCTGCGTCGCTTCCGCTTCATCCCGCTCGCCTCGCTCCGCCCGAGGCTGCAGCCTTACTGCTCTTCCCACGGCCCCTGGCACTCTGCCCTGCCGCTGCAGCCCCGGGGATTTCTGGAGGGCGTTTCCGGTGGTGGTGGGGGGTCGTCTTATACGCCGGGTCGTCTTATACGCCGGCAAATACGGTATACTATAAGCCTATAGGAAGTTTGCTTTACAACAAAGCTCAGGATATTAGCATACAGTAGCTCATGCGTAATATGCTCTGTGCCTGGAATAATACCTGACCTGTTTTCATTTTATTGGAAGAAGACAGCGCATGTATGATTTCCACATACTATTAATAGTGGTTGTATTCCTATTGTTTTTCTGCTATTTGTATTAATCCCCGTGGCCTCTTTAACAGTCTATTATTTTTAACATTGGCTTAGCATTATGTGCTAACACTGACTCCCTGGCATGAAATGATGTAAGAAAGATTTCAGCAAAAGATTCCTGTAAATGAATGTTCTGCTTCTGCTTTCTTTTATTGTATGGAGTGTGGGGGGGGAGAGAGAGAGAAACACTTTTAAAATAAATGCTCTTTTCACCCTTTCCCAGTCTCATTCTCTGCATATGTCACATGGTATGACTGGAGATAAAATTGAGGAGGTTCTCTTGTAAGCCCACTTGACTCTTTAAAAATGTGGGGTGGGTGGCTAATAAATAAATAAATAAATAAATACGCATAGGCAATTTCTGCAACTCCCTAACTTTTTCTGTTTCACTTATAGCACTTGCACTGAACAGGCAGATAATTTCATGATTAACATGTTCACATATTATGGAAAATATTGACACAATAGCTGTAAATAAGTTACCTGATGGTATTCCAATTATCATGATAGAAAATATTCCTCGGAGAAGAAGAGCTATTCCTGACCCCATGAAAAATACTTGCAAGATGTTAGTGGTGGCAGATCATCGTTTCTTTAAGAATATGGGCCGCGGGGAAGAAAGTACCACCATTAACTACTTAGTAAGTGTGATTATCTGCTGATAAAGTATGAGAGGGTATAACTAAATATTTAAGTAGTGTTCAGCAGGTATGAATAAGGATATACATATGAATAGATAGTACTAACAAACAGATAGTCCTCAACTTGCAACAGTTCATTTAGTGATCATTCGAAGTTACAACAGCATTGAAAAAAAGTGACTTATGACTGTTTTTCGCATTTGTGACTTGTTGCAGCATCCCCATGTTCACGTGATTAGAATTCAGATCCTTGGCAACTGGTTCATATTTTTGATGGTTGCAGTGTCCTAGGGTCATGTGATCTCCTTTTTGCACCCTTCTGACAAGCAAAGTCAATGGGGAGGCCAGATTCACTTAACCCTGTTACTAACTTAAGAACTTTAGTGATTCATTTAACAATCGTGACAAGAAAGCTCATAAAATGGGGCAAAATTCTCTTAATTGCCTCCCTTAGCGACATAAATGTTGGCCTCAATTGTTGTCATAAGTCGATGACTACCTGTATATTTCTTCTGTTTGTGAGTTTGCACCAACTCCATTCCTTAATCCAGGGGTGTCAAACTTGCAGTCTGCGGGTGAGATGCCTCACGCTCTGCCCACACCCAGCCCCGGTTTAGAAAGGGGGAAAAAAGTTAGGATACGTCACGTGATGACGCCGTGTCGTCGCGAGTTTGACATCCCTGCTGTAATCCAATTTACTATTTTTATGGAGAAAAATGATGTGAAAGAAATAGTATTATTATTTTATTTTATTTCACAGTTTTTATATACTACTCAAAAGCAGCAAACATGCTAATACTCCTGCCTCCTTTTTCCCACAAGAGCGCAATTTGTCCCATAGTCACCCAGCAATTTTTATAAGAGAGACCTAGGATTCATTGTCTATTGGTTTTGGGCCATCACCTTCACCATTACTCCAAACTGGGCTTTCATATATTAAATGCTGCCTTGAACTCCTGCTTGATTAGTGTAATACAAATGTAGCAAATACAATGACTTAAATAAGTAGAATGCTATTATTCCCTTCTCGTGCACAGAACATGCGTTTATTTATAAATAGCCTACAATCTTAAATTCTAATGACATGGGTTGACTGGAATCCCTTGTTTTCCTTTCTGCATATAGATTGAATTAATAGACAGAGTGGATGACATCTATCGCAATACCTCATGGGACAACGCCCACTTCAGCGGATACGGCATACAGATAGAGCAGGTATTAAAATACCTCCCAGAAGGAATGTGAACACTTTTGCTGGAAACCAGAGCGCATTCAATTCAATATTTTATTGAATAATTTAACTGTACTTTGTGATACATGCAAAACATGTGATGAATTATGATGATCCTGAACTTGAAGGTTATGGTTCTTTTTTGTTCTCCTTTCCCTTTTTCTTTCTAATAGAAATACAGATAGAAGAAATAGCCATAGGAATATGTCCCCAAAATTCAGCAATGTTTGTTTTATCATATTTTTCCAAATCTTCATATTTAGTAGAAACAAAGCCCTGTGGAGAGGATATTACAACAGACCTGGTGAACTGGGAGTATTTCAGTATTTCAGAAAAAAATTGACTGCAGCAGTAATCACGAAGGGAAAACTCATTACAGTTGTCTTCCTTGCGAACACCTCCACCCTCTCGTAACAGCAAATCTTGCTTAAATTGGGAAACTAACCAGGAAAAAGTGTCCTTCAGGCATTCCTTTTTTTGGTATACTGTTCTAATTTAGTTAGTTTTAATTTTGGAACTTTCTTTTTGCTGATAGCACTGACTATATTTGTGTGAAGTAATGAACGCATATGCCTAAGTGAATTATGCTGTTTCATATTTAAACTTCTGCATCAAGTATATTTCTTTTTTGTCAGTAAAGATAGCAAAGAACAAACAGTAGTGTCACTAATCCATTTTTTCATTGCCAAGAGAAATCCTGATCAGATTTTCAATGTTTAATATGTAAAAACAATTGTTTTCCATATAAAATAATAAAGGTAGCATATGCCTGGCAATGTTCTCATTATTTTCTCACCACTGTTAGTACAATAATGTTTTCTCTTTAAAATTAGTACTAGATATAGTTGCAAATTCTATTCAACCTTTTAAAAGTATTTATTTATCAAATTTATAATCGTTGAGATTTAGGTTAAGCTACTGAAATGTAAAAGCTTGATATGTGCTTGCTGTGCTGAAGAATTTGTTTGGATATGCTTATTTTATCCAAGAAACAGAAATATGTTTTCTTTCACCAGATCATTTTAGAAACTTTCTGTTTGAGTGAGTTTGCTGGGGTAAAAGTGTAATATAATTTTTCAGTATATGAATTGCTATGGGCCTTTGCTAATGAGTAATGGTATTTTCTGTTCATTAAAAAGCAGAAGCATTATTTTGAGCCCTTTTTCTGTTTTTACAAAGTTTCTAAATGTTTTATTTCTGTTTAATAAAGATTATTGTTCATAGTGAGCCAGAGGATTCCCTACTTCCTAAGCAAAAACACTATAACATGGCAAAAAGTCAGCCTGATGAAGAGAAGGATGCCTGGGAAGTCAAGCAGCTGCTAGAGGTAGGTTTTTGTATGTGTGTGTGTGTGTGTGTGTGCATTTTAAATGATAAAATTAGCTATAAATAATTTATTTCTTGACTCACTTAAGATTGGGGGGAATCTCCAAATTACAACATATTTTAAGGAAGTTGATAACTGAATAGTTCAGGAATAAATATATAATGTTACATCATAAAAACATTTTTAAAACCCTCAAAGGAAATAGCTTTAAAATATGGTTCATGATTTAAAATAAACTAAATGCTTATCTAAGCTCTCGGAATTGTGGCAAAAATGTTGATGCAGCATGCTTTATCAAGTATATCTTAACTAATTTTCGATCCTCATTGTGCAGAAATTCTATTATAAGGTGTTTACTTCCTTTCTGGAATGCTTCACTATGTGATCCTGAGTAATTTATGACAGAAAAACAATCTCAGGCAAAATATTATCTTGGGCAAGGAAAATGGATCAGAGAAAAGTATTGTTTTGTGATGCGAGAAGTGGAGTCTCTTATTTATTGATCTCCTTTCCTAATTTATTGAACAAGCATCTCTAAGCTAAAAAGTGTTGTTTTTTTTAAATTTGTCCCCCAAAGCAATTCAGTTACGACATAGCTGAAAAAGCAGCTAAAGTGTGCCTTGCTCACCTATTTACATACCAAGATTTTGATTTGGGTACTCTTGGATTAGCTTATGTGGCATCTCAAAAACCAAACAGCCATGGTGGCATCTGTCCAAAAGGTAAGTCTTTCTACTTGGGATTTGGTTTTTCTTCTAGGAAATGAATATAAATGACTGAAGATAAAAAAAAAAAAAAAGTATCTACTGTAGGCAGTTAAGATGAACTGATGACCTATAGCAGAGGTCTCCAGTCCTTTTTGGCCAAGAGGAACATTTGAAATGTTTGATGGTGTGTTCTGGCCCTTGCACAAAAGGCCTGCTTGGAGGTGGACTTGCTTGTTTACAAAGTGACTGTCATGGGAAACATAAGCTCATGCCACAGCTTTGCTTTATTAGAATGGTACCTGCTACTTCAATTTCTTATTGCCCCTGCTTAATTTTTTCCGGGAAGATGTGTACATGTCCAAATATGCACTCGATTATATTTTCCCATCATTTTCATTTTTTCAGGCTTATGGGCCAAAAGGCATTATTGGAAATAAAACGTACAGTAAAAGCTAGTAATTTATTTTCTAGTATTAGCTTGATGCAAGTTCAGGCAGGACAGAAAGATGATAGGTGTCAAAAGACTTTCTGTTAAAAGTCTCAACGCTGAAAAGAGACTTGAACTTTCCAGAATATCTAGTTTCTTTAGATTTAAATTAGTATTAAGCATTAACTCCTAAAACACAGTAAATGAAGAGTGGCACGTTTGCAAGCTAGAAACACTCCCGTGCATATTTGTTCCCTTCCCTGGTGAGATAGCATAATTGAGAGAAGTATCAGTCAAAGAGATTTATCAAGATGTGTTTCTAACATTGTGAATCCTCCTGCATATATCCACAGTGGTCTAGCAGCGTCGAATGACTTTTGATATTTTTATCTTCTCTTTCCTAGCTTATTCTAATTCGATACCAGGAAAAGCTGTCTATCTTAATAGTGGCTTAACCAGCACAAAGAACTATGGCAAAACGATCCTTACAAAGGTATTGCAAATTATGGGTACTGTTTTAAGGAAATCAATAATGTTGGATTTTGGGGGGATAATTTTCTGAAGATTCTTGCTGTTGAAAATGATATTTCCTACCAACTTTTGGTGACCAAGCTGCTAAACTGGGAAAAATGACTGAATTCAAATGTTGTCAAAACCCTTCTGAACATTTGGAACCAGGTCCCCTTTCTTCTAATTTGCACATTTTCGGCCAATTTGGTGCTTAAAATCTTAATCATGAATTATATTCACTCTCAATTACATTTTGTTGGATCAGAGTATAACGATTAAGTAGTTGGTAGTATGGAACATTTTGTTAAACAGCTTATTTTAAAACTTAAAGAATGCCCAAAGCAAATATAACCTGAATTATATGTGCATGAATCAAATAAAAGCTTGCTTTTGTTTAATTGCTGTTGCCAAAACTTAGAACAGGATTCATATTATGGTAATGCTGATTCTGTATTATTTACAATTATTGAATTGTTCAGTAATTATAGTTAATGGAAAAATACAAGTTGTCCTTGATTTACAACTTAACAATTGAGCCCAAAATGTATATTACTAAGTGAGAAATTTGTTAAGTGAATTTTGCCCCATTTTATGACTTTTGGCACATTTGTTAACCGAATCACTGCAGTTGTTAAATTACTAACAATGTTGTTAAGTGAATCTGGTTTCCCAATTGACTTCACTTGTCAGAAGGTTGCAAAAGGGGATCACATCACTATGTAAATAATATGCATTTAGATTTGCGGAAAGATGTTGTGTTTAGCTTTATACCTTGTAGATGTATCAGCTTCTACTCACTTAGGCATTTATTGAAATGTACAACGAGGTGTGCCTAAAATTTTGCAAACAATTGTATAATAACAGAAGTCTTTGGAGCATTGTTGGTCCTACTGTCAGAAGTAGAAGTCAGCTGAATGAACAGAATTATAATGCAGTCTTGTCTTCTAATACAAGATAACATGGCACAGTTCAGGAATGAACTGTGTTGTTCTTGGTGTTTTCTGACATCTTGCTTGCAGATGTTTCATTATCCAGTATGTACCAACATCAGTGTGAACGACAATGGATTTTGCCTTCTATTTCTATATAGTAGCTTGCTCTGCCAGTTTTGGTGGAGTGTGGTAGTTCCTAGATTAGAGTATTGTTTTCTCTTTGATTGATGTTAATTCTTATTTATCTGGGAGCTGGCTGCTAAAAAGTATGTTTTAACAGCTTTTTTATTGCCTGTTTGAATGATATATAAATATGATTTATTTCTTGTGTCTATTGATGGCTGATTTGTCTGAATACCAGCTTCCATGAATTCCGTAGCATTTTTGGATTTAGCTTGGTCTAGGATGGGGCAACACAATGGCTTAGTGATTAAGAATAGATGCCATGTTTGTCACCTGGAAAGCTGTCAACCTCAGATTCAAGACCTGAGTTTTTTGTGTGATGGGGTGAGCTCTTGTTCTTGCCACAGCTCCTGCCAATCTAGCAGTTGGAAAGCGTGCAAATGTGAGTAGATAAATGCCTGTGTTTTCCCAAAATAAGACCCAGTCTTATTGTCAGTTGGGCTCTGAAATAAGCACTAGGGCTTATTTTTGGGAGATGTCTTATTATTTTTTTTGTCCATGTACGGTAGACCCACTTCTTCTGTTTGCTCACGGTGGGGCAGGAGACCATGCGGCATAGCAATGCTACCGCCACAAGGCAGGGAAGGTAGAGTTGCCCCATGCACCCTGGACTGGCTTACCTGAAGGCCCCTACAGCCAGGCCACCTACAACACTTGCCTTCCCTTATGGTAGCAGTTCCAGCAGCCTTGTCCAGCAGGACCCTGCATGGCCTCCAGCTCACTACTTCTGCTTGTTCGTGGCCGCAATGGAGCAGGAGGCTGTGCAGGCACTTAAGAGGGCTTATTTTGGGGTAGGGCTTATATTAGACACATGATGAAAACATGCTAGCTCTTCTTTTCAGGATAGGTCTTATTTTCAGGGAAACATGGTAGGTGCCATTTTTTTAAAAAACAACAACACAAGTTTTATTAATTTTTGAAACCAATACAGAAACAAACAAAACATAGAATATAGGAATGTAAAAGGTCTTTTCTGGAAAAGCAAATAAGGCATCTTATTTAAAAACCAAATAATTCCAAATTTCCATATTTCCATACAAGCACAATTTAATATATATATATATATATATTTATCTTATCTGTTCAACTTCATATCTTTTCCCAACTTCTCTTTATTCCTCCCTTTCCTTCTATTCAATTATATTTCTTTTAACTTGAATTATATATTTTCATTGTATCCATCTGCCTTATTTACAATTTCATTATTTAATTTTCAAAGACCAACAAAACATAAAACATAGAAACATAAAACCTCCTTTCTGAAAGCTACATATAAGTTTTGAGAAAACAAATAAACATTGTTTTATACAACATAGTTCCCAATTATCATTTAAGCACATACATATCTTTTCCAAATTTCTCGTTGTTTCTCCCTTTAGTGATATTCCTCCTAGGCTTTATTAATTCTCAGTCAAACATAAATGCCCAAAACACAAAACATAAAACATCCTTTTGGAAAGTGGCCTATCCCCAGGTTACATCTTTTTTTAACAGACCTAAATCAAATTCATGCTCACCTTATATACCATTACTTATCTTATTTACCATTCTATATTTTCTATATAAACTTCTCCCCTCTTTTCATTCTGTTAATTATATTTTGTTTATTTAATCTTAATTTAGATCATTATACTTGTATCTTTTGTCCGTTCTTTTTCAATTATCTATTTATCTCTTCTCTTTAACAAAAAATTTCCCCTGTAATCACTAATTGAAGTATGGCGCCTTTCTATCTTTCCCCTAAATTTGACAATTTAAATAATGCATAGTTTCCATTCTGATTCTGCATAGTACATTCTACATGTTACATTTTAATATAAGAAAATAATAAGTTTATAATATAATTAAGTATATAATTTCCATTCAAATTCTGCTTATTACATTATTGTAAGTGGGAAAACAAAATAATAGATTTATAATAACATTTAGACAATAGCAAAATAAACTCTATAGCCAAACCTTAAACATTTTACACATTCCCTTATATTTTGTTAAATGTTAAAGTCTATCATTATTAAGCATTTTAATGTTTAAATATTTTTAAATCTTATAATATTCCAATTTACTATTTCAAATACAAATACTACAATAGTATCTTGTGTACTTTTGCAGAATCTTTTTTTTTTATAATTATACTTTACCCTTTATCTCTGAAAAAAATCTGCTTTTTTGCATCTCGTTTCAAGCCTTTGTAGCTTTTTTCCCCTTTTTCCCTTCCTTTCTTCTCCGATCTAGCCGTTTTACCCCCCCATCTCCTAACCTTCGCCTCCAGCTCACTACTTCTGCTTGTTCGTGGCCGCAATGGAGCAGGAGGCTGTGCAGGCACTTAAGAGGGCTTATTTTGGGGTAGGGCTTATCTTAGACACATGATGAAAACATGCTAGCTCTTCTTTTCAGGATAGGTCTTATTTTCAGGGAAACATGGTAGGTGCCATTTTGATGAGAAGGTAACCACTCCGTGACATCATGCTGGCCACATAAGAAGGAAGCGTCTTCAGACAGCGCTGGCTCAATAGTCTTGAAATGGAGATGAGCACTGCCCCCTCTAATTGACAATGACTAGCGGAGTAAAATCCACAGAGATTCCTTTACCTTTACCTTTTAAGTCAAGGATGCCTATAGTTTCCTAGTCAACACTATGAGTCTGTCCATGTCTTGTGAGAATAAGGAGTGTATTCTGACTAATAGTTGGTTTTCATAGATGCATTCTGCTAGTCTTTTGCCTCTCTGTCTTGCATAGTGGCTGTTATAAAGGACTTTGTTGATTAATATATTTTCTATTTTTGTTCTATCCAGTCATACCAGCATTCCCAGCTTCTATAATATTAGTAAACAACGTAAAATATAAAAGAGGTAATAATTATATATTCGCAATAAGATGTATTTGTAAATATATCACCAATGTTGATAACAAACAAGGAACCATAGACTGTCGACAGTAGCATTGTTAGTTTTTAATCATTTTCTTTTTTCCTTTTCCTTTTTGTTTTTTCTTCTGTGTGTTGTGTATGTGTTTGTTTGATATTTTACTTTTATAATCAATAAAGTTTGTTAAAAATAAATAAATGAAGGACTTTGTTGATTTGTGTTCTACAGTGATGCCAGATGGTTGTAATAATCTGTTTGATTGTTTATGAGATGTTTTTGATAAATTGCTGTGTTCTTTTCATAGCTTGTGTTGGTTGTGCTGTAGTGGGTTGAGCGGTCAGGCACTTTTTGTTAACGTTGCATGGATACCCATTTTATTGGAAGATTTTGTATAGGGGGCCTGCTTCTTTTTCCTGGTGTTCAGGATTGTCTCAGTGTGTGTACTTATCTGAATAATGCTCTTACACAGCTCCTCTTGTGGGAGATTGGATTGTTACCTGGTTAATGAAGCACTTGGTTAGTGTGGGTTGTTTAGACGCATTTCTAATTTGCTGTCGTTTCCTTTGCTGATGAGGATATTCAGGAAGGGTAGTATGTTTTTTGTTTCCCTTGTGAATTTTATTCATTTGAAAATGCTGCTGATTGTTACATGTATCTTCTCTGGTTCATTTTTTTATTGTGACAAATAAAGGTGGGAGTGCTGTAGTTTCTAAACCTTGCATTACGGTCTATGCTACGAGTCCTCAGAGTGGTAATCCCACGAGTGTTCCTTTGATTTTTCCATCAAACTCCAATTAGGTAATGAGGTTTATGATTCTGGATATTGCGTTTTCTTCTATTTTTAGATCTTTAACTCTCTGGAGACACTGTAATGAGGAGTTGATGGAATATTCGCTGCCTTCCGTGAGATGTACAAGCCTTTTGTAGGTTTTTTTGGGATGTGTTGTATGTTGACCTCTTTAATAATGACACAATTGGATTAAGAGGTATGCTGGGCTTGTGTCTGGGTGTCCACAGAACCATGTCAGAATAGGTCCATAGTTTTTCATCTTCCACTGTTTTTTTTTAATGATTTGACCTTTCTTGGTTAGATCGTTGTGAGTTCTCTTTCTATTATTAGGTTGATGTTTACTTAAATGTAGTTTTCTTTGTCCTTGAGTAATTCTTTGGCTTTTTGTATGCATAATTTTCTGTCCATTATGATCATAATGGACAGACATAACCCTGTTGTCTGCTGAGAGGATGGTACTGGTTTAGTCCTTCTTTAGGCTTTTAAGGTTTTTACGTTTTCTGCTAGAGTTAGTTATGCTTCTTGTTGCACTAGTCTCTGGTATAATTGTTTATCTTAAGTTTTTTTGGATCTATGTGGCAAGTTCTGTATCTCATGTTGCTTCTAAGGCTGCAGGGAATTCTAACTGATTAGCATTATCCATTTATCATTGACACTTTTCTGGAGGATGTTGTGTACTACAATATACAGTGGGAAGCTGGACATATTCAGATACCTCTTTGCTTCTGGGGTTTAGCTTTGAACAGTTTAGATCAGGGGTGGGCAAACTACGGCCCGCGGGCCACATCCGGCCCGTTGGTCTGTCCAATGCGGCCTGCCCCCGAAAAAAATTTGCTGCCATTGGTCTGTCCAATCCGGCCCGCCCCTGAAAAAAAATTGCTGGGCGTGGCGTATTGCCCTGTGCCACGTGGCCCCCAAAGCTGCAAAACAGTGCGGAGCGATCTAGGGGTAGGAAAGAAAAGAAATTTGCAAAGGCCTCGGCTGGGAGTTCGAAATCACCTTCGAGTGCGACCTCTCCGAAGGTGAGTCCCTGCCGATCCCCCTTTTTTTTCCGGGGCTTCCAGGCTTAAATTTTGCAAAGGCAAAGCTTGCAGGCTGGAGCGTCTTCCCGCCGAGGAGCGGGAAGGGTTCCACACGGCGGGCGGGGCGGGCTGCTTGGAGCCACCTAAAGCTAGACCGCTGCTGGTGGAGCCTTGCCCTGCCTTGGTGCCCCGTTTCCCGGCTCAGCGGTCCTGCTCGGGCGGCACTTTAAAAGCCTGCTCCCAGCACCCGAGCAACTTCCCAGCAACT